ATCATTACAAATTGCTAATTTTTTAATGGAATATTAGTAAAATCAAATAACAAAAGAAGCAGTGAATAATGGGATAAGGTCTGACTTCAGCAAGCTGGGCGATCTCGTCGTTTGGATGGGCTGAGTGCACTCTGTACGGGGTTGGGTCTCCACATACCACTGGAGGCGCATAATAGTTTCTACTGCTGGTGTAGATAATTTGCTGTAAATTAGCAATGTAATGGATGCATCTGATGGCAGAGGCAGCTCAGCCGAGCAGGTTGTTGACTACCTACAGCCTTATTACCCTGGTAGCTCTTGTCCCGCCTGCGGGTTAAAACGAGGAGCCGTCAGCGGCTCAGCCGCTGGCCCGCAGCGCTCGGCTCGGCTCTGCTCCTGGGGGCCATGGGCCCCACGCCGCAGAACTCGTGTTGGTGCACTAACGGGGTTGCAAGTGACTTTTTAGTTTACTTTTCAATGTGTTGTCTTCAGCCACCAAACCTGAGAGTGTGCAAACGTCTGCCGAGGCAGATCCCTGCCCTGCGCAGCCCCTGCGGGGTCCCGATGGCCGTGCTCCGCGGGGCAGCTGGGAGCCTCACGAGCGAGTCTGGAGAGGACGGGGTTCATCCTCTCCGAAAGGAATGATCTGTGTCCATGTAGATGCAGTGCGCATCTTTCATTTCATTTGCCTCAGTTTGCCTGGTTTTGGAGCACTTGGGACTTCCCGAGATTTCTGGATTTTCCTGGTAGCAGTTCTTCCAGTTTTTAACGCTCAGATCCTGCACCATCTAGAAGTGTTGTGCTTCAGGAAGAGAAAAACAATGAAAAGTAAGATTGATAGTAGTCTGGTTTATCGCAAACGTGGAAACAAAATTTAGAAGTGAGTGAAGATAACTCTGGAGATTTGGGGCTTGCTCTGAGGACTCCTAAATTGACAGCTGATGCGTGGCTCTCTGCAGCGGCTCTTCCAAGCAGGCTGCAGCCGGCTGAGATCTGGTCACAAAAGAAGCTGCATCACTTATGAAGATTTATTTCAGATTTCATTAACAAATAATTTCTGAGCTTCACAGTAACAAGGTTACTTACAAAGCAGATGTCTTAGTAATATGAAACTCCATTACTGAGACTTCTCCAAACCTTCCCGATGTTTGGAGAAGGCTGGAAGCAATCAGGGGCCTCAACAATATGTTTTCAGATTCTACGGGGTACTTAATCCTCATCTTAACGTGCAGTCGCTGCTTTGAGGGAGACCAGGCCGGGGCCCTGGGCAGATCCCTGTTCGTTGATGTAGGACGCGGCATCTCTCGCCTTCACCGTTCGCAAGGCGGGTGCTGCTGCTCCTGCTGCCCGGACCGAAGGGCAGGCTCCGTCTTACGCGGGTGAGACCCGTGTCCGGCGTGCGTTCCTCGAGGAGGCCTGCCCCCCGAAGCCGCAGGCCCAGGCTGCGACAGCTTAGCATCCAAAGCAAATACAGCTGATGGCTAGAGCAGGCACAGAAAGATAATTCTTCCCTCACCAATCACCAGCTTTTGTTTACTTTATTGTATTTTATAAATGTCAGCTTTTTTTAAACCCTTTTGTGTTGTTTTTTATGTGGTGATATCAGTGTTAGATTTAAATGAAAATGTCTTCTCAATAAATTACCGTGAATACACTGCATTCAACAGGAACAAAATTAAGCTTAACTAACACAACAATTTAAAAATGCTTTTCTTGTGCATTTTCTAAATGAATTCCATCTTCGTGCCAAATGCACCTTAGCACAACCGAGTGAAAAACCCCACATTTTATTTATCAAATGATTAACTTTCCCTTTTCTACCAGAAGGCAAAACTTGTGTAGATGCGTGTGAAGCTGTGAAATTGTTTAAATGAATGTGTTTAGACACAATATATGTGTTTGCTTAGCAACATGCACTAGTCTCAGTGCAGCAACGTACGTGCTTAATTCTTGTTGGTTAGTAACAGTCCTTTAGAAAATACAAATGCAAGCCAAAGATGAAAATCAATGAGCAGAAGCTAATGCTTGCCTTAAATCAGTTGTTCATGACTCTGCATCTCTTGTGAAATGAGCAGAAACCCAGGTGTTTCGCTTATGCCTTGATTTCTTAGTTTTAATAGTGCTGGTTGGAAAAGTGCAATATTCTTAGTAAGGTTTTGCATAACATCAATAACGAGAGGAAAAACCTTAATGCCCGCTTAATAGCACTTGCCCGGGAATTCAATTACTGTCTATTGCCAATATGTTGGCAGCATTAATAATTGCACGCTGGGCACTTCCATAATTTATCATAATGATTTCTGTTATGTATTATAGAAGATTCCTTCCCCCCACCAATGCATAAATACAAAAAAGGATAAAATAATTGAGATTGAAACAGGGTGTAAACTGTGATACTAAGGATTGTGTACTCAGAGGAAATGGGGTTGGTTTCATGATGGAGTTTTAATTTAGATTTTATTCTGGTGATACAGTCCCTTCCCATGGTACATTACTTTGCATCTGACAAACCACCAGCTCCCTTGGCCCCTCATTACCTCTGCGGTCTCATTGAGGGGGTTGTTCCTTTTTTAATGTTTAGAAATGAGAGTGAGGGATGAGATTCTGACTCCCTAAATTAGGAACATCCAAGGCAGATCTTGTAGGGCTTTTTGCTGTAAATTTCAGGACTCCTTATGTCGCTCATTTCTCTGTCTGTTTGTGACAGTAATCGGCCAAAGGTGCTTTAGGGTGATCCACGTGTTGTGGAGGAGCGAGTGGAAGGACAGAGGCCTGGGTGCCATTAAGGGCACTGAGCAAGGAGTATGTATTTAGCAAAGCTTTTTCCTTAGATGGTGTTAGAAGAGCAGCTTTTTTTCTTTTTCTTTTCTTTATTGGGTTGCTGATTGGTTGGGGAAGGTTTGAATTACTGGTTGTTGACAATGACAGATTTGTTTCCAAATGGATCTATGTGAAATTATATTTTAATGTACGTGCAAGTAATAGGAGTCTGCTTTAGGAAAAAAACAACCACCCCCCCAGAAAACAACCCGCAAAACCCACCACAAAACCCTCCAAGCAAATAAATTTTTCATTTCAAAGAATCTCCAGGTACGCTTCTGCTTCACAGCTATTGAATTATGAGCTGAGTCACTGCTTTAAGAGTGCATGGGAGCACTTTAGAAGAGTTTTAAGTCAGGAATGTACCATCCATAATGGAAGCAGCAGAGAGGATGTAGGCAGAAAGGAGACAGATAACCGAGTTTGAATAGGTCTAGCTGGGAGCAGACATCTAGAGCTTTGATTTGTGCTAATGTGTTGTCTGGGAAACTTGATTCTGCACCTTCCTCAAAGTGGTGACGACACGGTAACCCTGAAAACGCACCGTGATCCTGGTCGGTCCGCTGTCCAGTTTGCTTCTCATTATAATTAATACTTCAAGCGCTTTTCTTTTTTTGGTGTGTGTGTGTCTTGGTTTTGTTTTGTTGTTTGTTTGGGTTTTTTTTGTTTTTTTGGTTTTTTTTACATCTCTGCTGAAAGCAGTTTTCTTGAGAGCAGAGTTTGCGTTTGATGGTTTTTGCTTTATATTGAAATAAATACGTAAACGCTCTCTGGGCTGTGCAGAGAAGCAGTCGTAGCTGGTCTGCAGCATGCACATCGTAATTGAATCACAGCGGGATTGCCTTATGAGCCTGAAAGATTTATTGCCCTCAGGGACCAAAAGTTCCCAGCCTGCTGGGGAGCTGGAAATTCCCACCTTGATGCCCACACTCGTGCTGGAGCTGGCAGGAGAAGGACGCTGTCACCTATTCCCTCTGCATCCTTCTTTCTTTCTTTGTTTCTTTGAATCAAAACCGAGGAGAATCCAAATCTCAGTTAAAAAGCAGGTCTTGTGTTCATGAAAGCGTGGTGTGACTTTTATGATCTTAGACAAAGGGTCCCACAAAGCAGAAGAGTGGGGTCTTTCTGCCAGATAATGTGTTATGAAATAGGCTGGACAAAGGCTAGACCTAATGGGGTTACGAAATCATCTATCGGGCAGCCTGAGCAGCTGATAGAAAGTAAAAATATTTTTCTTATTGTTTTCATGGTTCTTAGCGCACCGGCTCCTTTTAAACAGTAAAGAATTAAGCTTTGTTTTCCTGTAATTATAGAGCATGGAGTGCTCCTGTTCCAGCTTGGCTCTCCTTCAAAAAAATATGAGAGATCAAATTTAATATCCGTGTAGTTTTTGAAGGGAGAGAGTTTTTCCTTCTATTGCAAATGCTTTCATCCCTTTTTGCCTAAATTAAAACATGGGATTAGGGTTAACGGACTTTTTCTTGTCCCTGGCAAATTACCTTTAATTTTGACAATTAAATAGAAAGCGTGGAATAATAAAATAAGTTGTTCCGAGAAAACCATAAAGGTATGGGCACTGCTTAATCTGGTGCCAAGCCCCTGCAGAATTGCAGCAAGCAACAGTACTCCTGTCCTGCGTGCTCTAAATTAGGCTTTGAGTCTGCATTCAAGTGTCGGCAAACGAGACAGAAGGATGGGGGAAGTCAATGTGAATTAGGGTGCACGCAAGAATTCAATATAACCTCATATACTAGGTGGGTAAAAATTGTCTTTCACTGCTGTCTGCTTGAGCATATTGGTCTTCTGTCTGTACAACATGAGGATGTCTCAGCTGACTTGGCTGATCCCAGGTCCTTAAGACGGTCAGCTGTACAGCCACCGAGCAGGTCAGTTTGGCCACTTCTTGGCTTTGAAATACTAGTTGTTGCTGCCTGGGAAGATATGTTCCCGTGAATCGTGTTCATAGATCAAACAAGGTAGGATGTTGACATAGCTCTTGGCAGAGCCATTCATCTACTCATGTGATGTTCCACTTCACTAAATTAATTTCCATTCCAGTTTTCAGAGCTGTTAAGCATTGTGTAAGCAAATGTTTTAAACAACTTGTAAGAATTCCCTCAGTATGTCTTCTAATATTGGTGTTCTGGTTTGCAAGGGTCACAAAAGACTTGTATTCATTCACCTTATTTCTCTGACTTTAGCCTAACAGAGGGACGAAAAGACCCCGTGATGAAGAGGAAGAAGAAATCAAAGCACGTCGGAAGCAAGCTAGTGCACGAGAGCACGGTCGTCACAGGGAAGAGGAGTCTGCTGCGCTGGAAGAAACTGATGATGAGAAGAAGAAACTTCTTCAGATAATTGAGAGGGATGGAGAAGAGGAAGAAGAGGAAGTAAATCACTGGTGTCCTGTGGGAAAGGGGAGGCAGTGGGAAATAAGCAAACACTAAATCACTGCTCTGGGATTTCCATTTCTTACTGTGTAGATGATGAGTCTAACCGGTGATTTTCACATGCCTCATACAGCTTAAGGTTATGGTTTTACTCTCCTGCCCTGCAGGGTATTCATTAATTTCAAACGGGCTTCTCCAGGATATCCTCTGAAGATTTAAAGGGGTGGGGGCAAAATGGAGAGGGAAGGGAAAGCTTTCAAGCCTAATCTCCGTTTTAGGCTGAGAATACCCAAATCACCTTCTAAAATAGATTTTTAGGGAATAGTTTCTGTATTCTAACCAGTTTCCTAACTCTGTTATTCTCATCAGTACCCCCAGCCATGCAGCTTCTCCCCCTCTCCCCCTCTTTGTAGCTGTGCAGCAGCAGCAGCAAAGAAGCAAACGTTCTTCGATACAAGAAAGGTCTTGGGTCAGCGGAGGGGGGTAGCAGCTGTCAAGGGTAAATGATTTCAAGCCTTGGAGACAGAAATCCAATGCAGCATTGGCCTTTCTGCCAAGGGCCAGGGAAAAGATCACTTTATAAATGTGACACATGGATTGGTATAAATCTAGAAGATGTTTGCTTCCTGCTGCCTCTGTCCTGTTTGATAAAAAAACAAGCGATAGTCACCACTGCAGAATCATGTAGGTTTGTGAAATATCATTGTCCTTTGTATACAGCATTGCTAGCATTCGTCTCTGAAAATCTTCCTTGTTTTTTTGATGTTGAGCTATTGCCGTTACGGCTGTTGCTGATAGCGGAGAAAGATAATGCAGGATTTCTGTAGCATTTGAGCTCCAGCGAGGATGAATGGACGTAGCCAAAAGTCCTCTTGACTGGCTGGAGTCTCGTGGGTTCCTGCAGAGTACGAGTCCCTCGTCTTTGTCAAGTGGAGTTCTCCCATCCAGGTGTTTTAAGGGCTGGAAGTCCAAGGTTTCTTTAGAACCAAAACCTCTTCTTTATTATCTTGGAATGCAGTTAATGTAAGTGCCATCAAAACGCGCTTTGTACCAGCAAATTGGATGGAAGGAAACTAATCTGTAGGACACTGTAATACTGAATGCAAATGAAATACAAGATACAAAGCTGATCCTAATGGAGATACTGTAGTGATACATGTTAGAGAAAGCAAAGAATCAAATGAAATAGAGGGAAGCAGTGTCAGCCTGTGTGACAGTATCTTTGTGGATTGAAATCCCATTGCGGGAAGAATATGGTTTGGGCAGTGTAGTATTGATTACCTGAGTGGGATGGTGACATGAGTGGGATGGTGCTAAGACAGGTTGGGCTTGAAATCCAATAGGAAATCCAGTAGGAGATCCAATAATAACAGAAGACTTGGGCTGGTGTTGTTATTGTAACTAAGTTTGCTGAAGAAATAGAAATTTTCTCTCTCGTACAAGATTGCTGCGTAGAGTCGCTAACCAAAGAAACTTTAACACCAGAAGCCACTCTTGATTTAATCCTGAACAGGAGATGGGGCACAAAACTCGGCTTAAGATGTGAAGGGGTCTGGTTTGTTTTTTCTTTTGAGAACTTCTCTTTAATAGTGATTGTAACATAGTCAAATAGAGGAGAGGGAAGAAGTTACCCAAGAAAATCCGTATCATCAATCTTTTAATAAGAAGTGCATTAAAATTGTGAAACAAAGACAATAACAGAATTGTGTTTGTAGGTGTCAGGGAGGTAGCTAAAGTTATGCTACTGCTGTACAGTAAATATATAATGCCAACTGAGAAACACCTTAGAAGAATTTAAAAAATAAAGTACTAGAGTAAAATATTGATTTTTTTTTTTTTCTTTCGAGAAAGACTTTAAAATAGAAGTGAAAGCTTATCCAAGTGAGGAAAATACAAAAACCCATAAACTCAGGGCAGTTAAATGTAGACCTACAAAAAGAAATAGCACAATGGACTTCTGAAAAGAAACCATCCGTGGGCATAAACTGCTAATGCAGATTTACTCTAATACGTCAGAAGCAAAACCCCTCAACACACGCTGATGGCGCCAGGTAATCGCAGGTGTAAACGAACAGCTCGAGGAAGATGAGCCGTTGCAAAACTGTTCTGTTTTTTTTCCATTGATACTGGGTTTCAGGAAGTGTAGTCCATGGGTAAACCCCTGGTTTATAAAAACCCGCCTCCCAAGGTTTTGCTCTGGGCAGCTTGCTCAGGTCCGAGCTGGAGTCAGTCGATAAGTGAACAGTGGTGTACGAGCAGGGCGGCTCGCAGGGGCGGCCGCTCGGTCCTGACGGCTGCGGGCCCGACTGCAGTCTCACCCCATCGCTGTACTCCTTTGCGTTTTGCCGGGTGATTGTTCCAGCCACCCAAAGCTCTGTTTTCTGCCCTTCTGATTTGCTTAGGAGGAACCTTTGGATGAAAGTTCAGTGAAGAAGATGATTCTCACTTTTGAGAAGAGATCTTACAAAAACCAGGAGCTGCGGATCAAGTTTCCTGACAATCCAGAGAAGTAAGATTATGCTCGGCCCCTCTCTATTACCCTTTTTTCCTTTGATTCTAGGTTTCAGCCCTAAATCAGTTTCTTGAATATACAGACGTTTTCCGTTACATACGGCTTATGTAACAGCAGTTCTTGCCATGTGTAGTTCTTCTAAACTTTATTTGAAACTAACTTTGTTAATTAAAAATGGCATTATCGAGACTCTGGTGGTGGCTGGTATGTGGCCGGCAGCACGAAGAGAATAATTAGCAACAAAGGGAAAACTTCTAGTTTATTACATTCTTCCTGTTGTTAATATTATAGATTGTGAAACTTCAGTACTAAAACTTGAGTTCATGTTGGTTTTATTTTGGGAGCGCACAAATTCAATGAGGTTTCGTTAGTTTTGGCTGAGGTACCTAAGTAGTGGCTCGGTTCTCGGAAGTGAGCACTGAGGAGCTCTCCCAACATGAGCCCTCGTGGCAGCTGGCATCGGCAGGTCGTCAGCCACGCTGCAGTTCGGTTGTTTTTGGGGGGCTCTTCCGTTGAGCTGCTCCCGAGCAGGGGTCTCCTCCTCGCTGACAGGCAGGTGGTAGGTGTTTGGGGGTGGGCTGAACGACTGAGTCCTGGATTGGTGAGTTTTGCTTTCCAAATAATTAAAGATTTCATGTCATCGTTTTGTGTGAAGGCGTTGTGCTTGCATATGCAGTCAGTGGGCTGTGTGGAAAGGAAATAATTTCATATTACGGAGCTTTCGGATGCTGTGGTGAGCAAGCACCACATGGGGATGGGGTCTGAAGGCCAGGCTTTGTGTGTGTTCCTTTCCACACCTGCGGTTCTAGTGAGCCTCTTCCTCCTTTCATGGAGTTTTGTTATTCACGTTAAATGAATTTCTTCCTACACTTGAGTGCTGTTATTTTTTGCCCAGTTTGCTGTTCTTTCCCTTACCCAAATTCTCTTTATGGACTTTACTTCAGACTAATACAACCCACATACTAATATGTGGTAGCTAGGGAAGGTGCATTGCTCTGGCGAATTTATTTTGCATGCAGGTTTTTTTTTTTTCATGTGTAGCTACAACCTCTTGAGGTTTAGTTGTTTTTTTTTTTTTTAAATTCTAAACCTGGTTTACAGAATTGGAACAAATCTGCTTATTTACTCTATGTAAATTATATAGTAGGAAGGCTTATCCTACTGCGTGATTAAATCCGCGGAGGATCAGAAATGCCGGGGCTATTGGGGTGACAAGTCTGACCTGGTATCTCCTGGAAGGTGGTGGTCTCTGTTTTGAAAAGGGCTGTGCGTTGAACACAACTGTTGTACGTTTTGCATTTTTATTAACCGTTTCTGTCTTGCCTCAGGTTCATGGAGTCCGAACTGGATTTAAATGACATCATTCAGGAAATGCACGTGATCGCAACGATGCCAGACCTGTATCACCTGCTGGTGGAGCTGAACGCTGTGCAGTCTCTCCTCGGCCTGCTGGGACATGACAACACAGATATCCTTCAGTTGTTAAAGCAGCTCTCATGTGAGAGGCTTTCTACAGGCTTTTCTGTAATCTCTTCTATCCTGCTTTCACAGGCTCCTGTATATGTTTTTCTCTTCTTTCCCACTGCACTGAATTTGTGTCGTCTTTTTTTTTTCCTCCCCCCAAGTGAAAGCCGCCTTTGTTCAAGCAATATTGATTCTGAATTTTTTCAGTGCTGTTATTCTCCTTTCTTGTTTTATGACCCTTTCATCTAGGTTTGAGTGGCTGTGTTAGTGTGAGCAGATGAACAATACAGGAAAAACTAAGGTACGGGCTTAGCAGTGTATAGCCTTGAACTGTGTGCAGACTTTGTCGGGAGTAGCCCCCAGTGAAAATGGAACCGATTTACCCCTTTTTGTGGAGAGCTGAGGTGTCATGCTTTCAGCTCTTTCACGGACTAGCTCACCACAGTGGTACAGCTTAGTCTGTAAATGTGATAAATTCTTCACGTGTCCATGCCTTTAATTTGGTGTGCTCAGAGCTGGAGGGGCGGGTAGCCCCTCTGCTTACATAAATATCCAGAGACGTTTCCATGCCTGGTTGGTTCTTGTGTCACTGAACCTGATGCCCGTGTACACCTGTCTCTTGTTCCTCTGAAGATCTGAGGACATCTCAGAGAGTTTTCTGTCTGTACTGTTAAAGGTTTTGGTAGTTTTGAGCAAAAACAGTGTCATTTTTTGAATATCCTGGTGCCTTGATGCTTAGCTGTCAGCTGATAAATAGAACTATGCCTGGCTTACCATTGTGCAGTCTTAAAAAGCAGAGCTCAGCCTGCACTGCTTGTAAGGTATTCTGCAGTAGATTGAGCTGGAAAATGGTGACGTGACTTGAGAGACCGTGTGTCCGTGTCCTGGCAGACATTAGTGAATGGAGGGAGCAGTGAGGCCCAGTGGAAAGGGCACTGGACTTGGACTTGGGCCTACAGCAGGCTTTTCTTTTTTCCTTTTTATTGATTCCTGACCTTAGGAAAGTAGTGTATTCCTTACTTCTTTTCTTTATCTGTAAAGACGCAGATAATACTTACCAGCTTTTCCGAGGTGTTTTGAAATATGCAATGTTGAAAGGACTGTTATTGCTAAATGTTGTGGTCCAATGCACAGATCTTGGTTTTCTTTTATAACGCTTTTCCTTATAGTACTATGTATTAAGAATTCATAATTCATTCTCGCTAAGTGGGTGCAGTGATCAGAAGATAAAAACAAAACATAAATATTTTATTGCATACCAGTTTATATTACCCAAACACGTAAGCAGTGCTTTCTATTTTGACTTGTATCTAGCTGATCCTTGATGTGGTGAATGCTGGTCCCTGCAAAACAGCAAACACCACAGCTTTCCTTATCTGTGATCGGTAATGGAAATTACTGTCCAGTAAATGCTTGTTAACAAGTTACTGTGGTACAGTGGGAAACACCTACCATGCATAACCAGTTTCATGGCTACCATAGTTTCATTACTTTTTTTTTTGCCAGACACCGCAGGCTTTTTGTGTAGTATGTGCATGGCATTAAAAGCTTATGCTGAATTTCTCATTCACAGGGAAAATGCAAACTGTGGGAATTTTGGCTGGGATAGCAGAGCTGATTCATAGCTGGAGTGCACAGGAATACAGCTGGCTTTGTCCTTTCAGCCATGAAAAGCTGTGTCCTAGGGTCACTGCTGCTGTCAAAGCCTTGTCAGTATTTCCACTGTGAACTCTTTTTAATTGGTTTGCAACTTGCCTGTCAGTTAGTTTACGGGTAGAAATTTGGCTTGTGAATTGCAGTTTTGGGAAAAGCATATTTCTTGTTACAAAAATGGCTGAAGTGTTTTCAGACTGTTGGAGGCAGGACACAGGCTGTAGTAATGCCTCTTCACTGTGCTGCTGCTGCTTATGCACAGGGTAGAAACACTATTAAAGTGAAGCATCTAGACATAAACCTAAATTGATACAGCTCAAGTTTTCTAATGACTTTGTGTTAGAACAAATGGAAAAAGATTTTAAAAATGAGTTCTTCAAGGAGAGAACTAAACAAATGGCTCTTCAGATGTGATTTAAATGTAGTGTCTTGAGGGACTAATGCAAGGAGACAAAAGCAATGTCCAGGGGGAGCAAATAATCTGCTGAATGATTCATGCAGTTTTACACAAAACATGTGAATGAAAGATGATCACTGACAAGATTTTATTAGTGAAAGACAGGAAAGCTTCTTTCTCCTAAATTTGATAGGACAACTGATACTCTGGCTGGAAGCCTCAGCAGAAGCTCCCTAGACAGGAATGCGCTGCAAGATGAACTCCTCTGGCTGCTGGAGGTCTTTGCTGTGCACTCGCAGGACAATCTGGCTCAGCTGTTGTTACAGCACCCAGTAGGTAGCAGTAGTCTCCAGCAAATTCCTCCCTTAGCCTTCTCTTCTATGGGTTGATCAAACCCCGTTCCCTCAGTCTTTCCTTGAACATCATGTGCTAGCCCCCCGACCATCTCAGTGGTCCTCTGCTCCCCTGAGTCCAGTATGTTAAGGTCTCTCTTTTACTGGGAGAGCCCACAGCTGAACAAAATATTCTACATGTTGCCTCATGAGAGCCAAGCAGCAGGTCAGAATTCCTTCTCTTGACCTGCTGGTTTTGCTCTTGCTAATGCAGTGCAGTCTGTGATCAGCCTTCGTCACGGCAGAGGCACGCTGCTGGCTCGCCTTCGGCTTGTCCACCAGAGCTTCCAGGCTCTCTTCTGCAGAGCTTACCTCTCCAGTCAGCCCCGGCGCCGGGGCTTGTTCCCTCCCAGGTGCAGGGCTTTGCATTTGCTGAACTTCACGAGGTTCCTATTGGCCTGTTCCTCCAGCTTTTGTCAGTTAATAGTTAATTCCTTGCAGAATAAATGTAAGGCAGGTTATTTTCTCTTAACTTGCTTATTGAGTTGCGCTCCAACTTGCTTTTAAAAATTGTACCCTCGCACTTTTGGCCATGTTTTTGTATAAGCACGAGTGACTGTCTGCCCCGTGAGGAGTAATCACCCTTGTGTTTGGTTCCTGATGGCAGCTGCAGCTGGAAGTGACATCTACCCATCAAGAAAATGTACGGATAGCTTTGGCTTGGTTAAGGAGTGCTGTAGAGTATAAGGCAGGCAGCAGTCTTACCGATACACATCATCTGCAGCGCCTAGACATAGCTTAACTTGGGACTGGGATGGGCAGCCCTCCTACAGTCTTTCTTGAGACTAGATAAGTCACGCCTGAAACCCTGCTAAGAAAAGATAGATGAAAATACTTTCCCTGCTGCTGCTTGTATGTCTGAGCAAATGCACAAATAGGAGAACTGGGAGGCCGGATTGTTAGCCTGTGCATTTTAAAGAGATTCATCACAAAGTTGCTATGTAGGACATGCAGAAAAGTGCGTATCCTGTTCTACCCCGGTGGGACTCGAGCAAGATTGATCAGCGTGTCTGAGAGAATAGGAAAGTGGGTCTAATGAGGTGGAATACGTCTCCTCATACAAGAGAGCTGTGCAGCAGTCAGGGGAACCGTGTGTTTTGCAGCCCAGAGTTAATGAGTGAAAATTGGGCTGGCAGAAGCTATGCTGTTCCTGCGAGGTCCGCGGTTAGAGGAGCATGCTGTCCTAATTGGGCCAGGCAGAGGGGGTGATCGCTCCTGCTCCCTCCAGCGCCCTTGTTAGCCGCGTGCCATATCAGGTTAGCAGGGGTATCGCTGAGAACAGAATACCCAAATCAGATTATTGTAACTCGTTTCTCTTTGCTTATATTCGGTCTTGACAATGCAAGATGGTGCCTAGTTATACCAACTCTAGCCATTTTGATTTGAAAAAATAAAAAAAATAAGTATCACCAAGAAACAGTAAAATTGCCTGATGCAGTAAGCACACAATCACTTTTATTTTTATCATTCCTAATTGTTAGGATTCCCTGATTTTGGTGCTTAGGAGGACTGTCTGCTGAAGTGGTCTCTGTGCTCTTGGCTCTGGTGGTCTGTGCCCCACCGCTGTAATGTGCTACCAGTTGTTTTGGATCGTGTCGTGAGCACTCTGGCCTGAGAGCAATCTGCTTTTGATATTAAATGTGCCTGCCTCTCTGGTGGTTGTCCTTAACACCTAGCACATGTTTCCATAGCTGTGGTAGACTTGCTTCAAGAACTGACTGATATAGATACTCTCCATGAGAGTGAGGAAGGAGCTGAAGTCCTCATAGACGCTCTGGTAAGTAGTAAACTCCAGATTATTTTAATGCCTGAAGAACATCTGCCTTATACAGCCCAGCAGCGAATACTCTGAACTGCCACGCTTCCTGCAGCTGTGGTTATCCGTATCGCCAGCACCACCAGGAAGGTAGCCAGGTCAGGAGCCTGCTCCCTTGTAGCTGAAACGCCGTATTGAGGACCACGATGGGTGTTTTTAATGGAATGCCAGAGTTTGGGGAGTAGGTTCTTCTTGCACCTTGTCTACCACTTCTTTTTTGGAAGGAACATGCTCACGTTGCAAAATCTGTGTAGGCTGGGAGACTTTTTTGTGCAGGGAGGGGGAATGCAGTAATATTTGTGACTTGGACAGCGTCCTACTGAAAATAGGAGCTTGATTTGCATTTTTCTTCCTTCTTGCGGAAAAGGGCGACCTCTGTTCACCCATGAAAAACTGAAATTTGTGGCAGGGATCAGATTGTTATCTGAAGGAGAGTGGGGCCACTGTGGTATTTCAGTCTAACCTCTTGCATGGGAGACCAGTAGTCTTCTACGCAGTAACTCTCGTTTCAAACCAAAAAATCTGTGCTTGAACTGGGACATCTGTTGTTACAGTGAGCGTACGTGTTTTTCTTAACAAGAAGGAAGAGTGTGAAGGTTTTCGTGTAACAGAGCTAATGCGTTTTAAGGGTGGAGGAGGGTTTAGAGGTAATGATCCTTTTTGGCATAAACAACCCCAGAAAATTATCTATGTGCAGTAGAAGGTGCATTGCTTGGTGTTGAGCGCTCCCTGCCTGGTTAACTCTCTTGGTTGCCTCTTGGCCGCCGTGGTGGTGGACTTCCCCTTTTCCTGGCGTCTGCACTGGATGCCTCCTGCTCCTCGGCTGCGGGAGGAGGGTGCCGAAGGGAGCAGAAGCCCTCCAGAGAACCGGTGCCCAGCAAAACTCGAGACTTGCATGTCTGTCCTACCTTTGGGCAGCTTCTGCCTGTGAATCGCTGTGTTTGTGAATCACTGTGGCTGTGTCTTGTTCTGTAACTATTATGTTGAAATTGAAAGATGGGGAATTACGGGTTTTCTTTTGTTTGCTTTGTTTGGCTGCTCTGTTTTCTGCAACAATCCTTCTTGTCCAGTCACCATAACGTTACCTTCCAAAGGTTAATGACAGTGGCCCGGAGCTGAGTTCCTCCAGCTGGCCTCTGGGCTGTTCTTAATTACTCTGCCTTCATGGAGAGATTGCTGGATGAATGAAGTGGTAGAGAGGCACTGCTAGAGAAGATGTTTTCTATAAAAGGTGCAGAGAGGTAGTAAATCAAGCAAAGTTCGTTCTCTGTTTTCCTTGTCACCAGCCCACCAATAACAGCCAAGTTTTAGAGGTTTTGTTGTCTTCTTTGAAAGAAACAGGTCAGGCATATCTTGGAGAAATGTTTAGATATCTGCTTTTTAGATTACTGTGGGTTGGTTTGTTTGTTTGTTTTTATTTGTTTGTTTGTTTTTTTAAGAAAGTAGGTATAATGTAGGGTATCTGTGAAGATTGTTGCACCACCTTCCACAGCAGCTGATACTTGTATTTTTTCCACGTGCTCACTGGGCCCAAAGCTAGTTAACAGTGTTTGAATTGGAAATGTTATTTTGTTTAACTTTTCCAAGCTCGTGTCCACAATGGAAAGTTAGCCAAAGTCAAGCTGGACTCCGTCCAATTGCAGCTGTAAAAGCACACTTCTTGTGTTGGCTTTCTGATTAGGAGGCTCCACCTGCAGATGTGGGTTCCTGCTGCTGCTGCTGCTTTGTCTGGGCTTCGTTAGCTTGCTGAAGGCAACTTGGTGCATTCATCTTGCTAGGATTTAAATGCAGGGCTTCAACTAGTGATAATTCAGCTTTTGGATTTGAATCTGCGCATGTGAGCGTGGATTCCTTCAGCTTTTTGTACCTATTGAGGTGCAAGAGGTAACAAAAATGTAGGCAGGCCAGCAGCTGGAAGCGGAGCTGCGTGCAGAGCTGACAGCTAGCCCATCCGTGGTGGTTTGTGGTGCCTCACGCTCAAGAATTTGAGGGATTATAAATCAATCAGGCTGGTTCAGGAAATAAGACTGTGACAAGGTGCATGTTTTCCTCCAGATGTGTTTCTGTTTAATCTGAAACACAAAAGTTGTTTAATTAATTAGGACAAACACAGTGGCAGATTTACTTGGTGAATCCTTTGCTTCCTCTGAGATTTTAGAGCAAGATTGTTAATGTTTTCTGAACATGTCTGGCAGGATGTTTCAGTAGGGCTTATTGATTTTTATTATTTATTAACCCCCCCGTTCGTTCTCCTTCACCTTCCTCTATTCAGTCTTCTTTCTTATCTTTTTGTCTTTCCCATGACCCCGGTGATGTAGGTGGAGGGCCAGGTCGTGGCCTTGTTGGTCCAGAATTTAGAGCGCCTGGATGAAAGTGTGAAAGAGGAAGCCGATGGTGTCCACAACACGCTGGGTAAGCGCCGTTGCACAGCCTCTCGCTTCTTCCCGCGCTTTGTCCGCGGGGGCGGTGGGTTATCCCTCCCCTTCCTTTCCTCCCTACCGCCTTTCCCCTGGAACTGCCAGCGCTAGGGGTGAGGACCTAGAGCAGCTTTCGTTCAAGCACAGACTTAACTCACGGCGAAGCCCAGTCCTTTGAGCCAGCGTTTGTCGCACGACTGCTGGTAAGGTGCCTCTTCCCGAAGTGGTTGTGTTAGGGAGGTGCTGGTACACGGATGAAACTGTGCACTGTGCCGGAGGGTGTGCGCTACCGCCTGTGTATTTACTATGTACTTACCTGTGAGCTCCACTTACGCCGTTATGAGAGCTGTTTATGTCTTAGCAATATATTTAACTTTCAGGTAGTAAAACATTTGTATTTCATATGTACATCATTACCTCTCTGTTCCCCAGTCCTTGCACAGCACAGTAACTGCTTTGCAGTGTGTCTCTGTTATTAGCATTTAGACCATCATCCACTCCTTTCAGTCATTTGGGATTGTAATCTCCCGTGGACTGGAAGAATGAGAGACTGGAAACAAGAGTTTTGGAATTTTTCCTGCTGCTGCCATTGTTAGTGAGCTGCCTTGTGCAGTGAGAATTGCTGCTGGAGTAAAGGGAAGTATCTTAGGTTTCTTCCAGCAGGAGCTAGTGTCACGCTGAGGAGGGACTGTGTGGGCACTGTAAAAACTGAGAGAGTATCACAGACGTGAGCTTAAGTCTCACTCAAAAAAAAGGTAGTTTTGCGAATAAGATGTAACTTCGAGAAGAGCAGTGCAGCCCTAGGAAGGACCTGGCAAAGCAGCGTGGCTAGGGGCCTGAGCTGAGCTGCAGGTGCGGAAAAATGACTGTTTTCTGTGCCTTTCTTCTCAGCAATCGTTGAGAACATGGCAGAGTTCCGACCAGAGATGTGCACAGAAGCTGCGCAGCAGGGCCTCATGCAGTGGTTGCTCAAGAGGCTGAAGGTGAGCTTGTTTCCCTGTTGTCATTTGGGAGATACCACAATAAAAACGGACAGGCCACTGGTCTGGAAGCTGGTGTGCCTGAGATGGTGTTTGGCACGATATTAAAGGCCCAAGGCTATTTATTATTGGCTCTTTCCATTTGCATAGGTATCTTTGTCACACGTTCTAACATAAATACAGTGAATTCAAGACTTGCCTTAAACTGGGAAGTATGTCTCTTGTAACTTATTATAAACTAGCAAAATGGAAGGAGTTGGCTTTATGTGTAAGAAGCCCCACACAACCTGATGCAAGTCTGTGAGTAGAAGTAGTCTCATTTTTGTAGTGTTTGCCTGGCAGAGTATTTGTAATGTTGAGTCTTCTTGAATGTCTTTGGGTTTTACTTGTTTCTGTGAGAGTTGTTCTTGGCAACGTGTCCCTGATCCTGCTGTGAGGACGATGGTCTTTCCTGCAGAGCTGGACCCTTCACAGCGCTACAAAACAGCCCTCGGGCTTCGGCCACTGATGTGGTCGTCCCCCGTAGCTGCAGCACCACTGTGTTCCTAGCTCGAGCATCAGAGTGCTAGAGCTCTGCCAGTGCCCACCTCCCTTCTACAGACCGGTTAGTATGAACTTGAAACGTGGCTTAAAATAAGCCAGTTTTGTGCACATGTGTGTTGGAGAAGCCAAGTTAGGCGCAAAAAGTTAGAATTCAGGGTTTGTATCCTCTGTGGTTTTAGTTTAAATGGACATACTTCTGTCTTGTCTTTATATTGTAAACGTCTTACAGTAGAAGGTGTCTTTTTTCTGTTCGTATGATTCCTGTATGGTGGATTTCTGGTCTGTGGCTGAGACCTGTAGGAATATAAAAGCTGACCAGTGAGTGGGGAAACTAATAAAGACCATTTTATGCCTTTGCTTCCTATGTTTCTAACACTTTTTTGAGTTTCAAGTGGTGTCTTTGTTTAACTGCTGCTGGTGGTGGCTTTTCTTTGAACTCATCTAACTGCCTTTTGAATTCAAAATTACTGTTTGATACTCCTAGCATCCTGTGGCAGTGAGTTACACAGTTTAACTCTGTCTTGTGTGAAAAGATGCCTAAACATTCCCTGGAAAATACTGTAGGAAAGGAATTGATAGTTCAGCTCTCTTACAGAGCTAGTGAAGGACATTGAGCAAACAGATTCTGGCTTGTTCCTAACCCTGTTAGTGAGGCATTAGCACTTCCATACTTAAACATCTTTATGGTTAGAAGGCCTCTGAATCACAGAAATACTCTCATCTGCTTTGGAAGTGTGCAGATGCCTCTGCGTGCACCTCATGTACTTGTCAGCAGAAGTAACCTATAATTTCTCACTACAGGTAGTAACATAATTATATTCATTTTGTTTAAAAACAAAAAGTGAATTTAATTTTATTCCAGGCAGGTATGTACTGCTGCCTACCTTGTAATTACTCTAGCAGCTGAAAGACTTAGAAACTTGGGAAGGCAAAATAATCACAACTTGGATTCCCCTGCTCGGTGCCACAGAAAATGAATGTTTAAGGCGTTCAAAACCTGGCGCTGAGCATGTCTTTCCGTTGCCCCGGCGTGCGTTAGCTTTGTCTGGGTTTGGGGACGGGTGATCAGGCAGTGCTTTTTCTTGCTTGCACGCCGTCATTGCGGGGAGCCGCACGCTAATGAAACCCTCGCCCGGGCGCCTTCGCTATTGGCAGCTCTGGGTCTTGAATCTCTCGCCCTGACAGATGTGGTTAGGATTAAACCAGGATCTCGGCACCTGGGTAGAGCGTTGTGCTGCTGAAGAACGTCTGCGGGATGAGTTTTAAAACCAGGGTTCTGTCTAGGCATCGGTAAGGACATCTGGCACACAGCACAGAGCGTGAATTTCTGTTTTCTGACTACATTTCAGGTTGCATAATTGTATTCTGACTGTCAGAACTGCCTCGGAAAGCTCCGATGGAGAGCTTAATAGCTCGCTTCTCCAAACATAAGCAGGGTTTGATGATGATGTGTGCAGCCTTGAGAGAGCAGGGCCTTGTTTCCTAACGCTTGCCGTAGGACAGCAGTGGTACGCACCGTGGTAGGAGCCAGCAGAGCCGTACAGCACCGGTGCCCACCGCCTTCCCCCTCTCCTGCCACTGATTGCTTGGGAGGGTGATGTGGTTGCTATAAATACCATCCCCTGCAGAGCGGCTGGGGATCGTTCAGCATGAAAAGCTTCGTTTAAAGTCAATACTTTGTGGCGTTTGGGATCTTCCTGCTTTTCATGCTTTTGTGTTGTGCGGCGCTGGCATGTTGTGACCTTTGCTTTGGTAGCAGGTCGGGCTCGTTGGCCCTGCGCAGGCAGGTTCCCTCCGTCACGCTGCGGGTGGCCGTGCGTTTGGGGAAACAGTTCGGGGTGACAAATGGTATGTTTTAAGCCTAGTACTTGCTGCTTGGTTTTTTTTTTTTTCCTCTTGAACAGTGGAATACAAATAGCTGGTAACCAATGATTTTTAAAATTGTTCTGTTTATTTTATAAGTTCCTTCAGCAAACCAGTTTGCATTATGATCCGATGGGTTAATGTTTACTCTGTTTCTGTAGATGAAGCAGCTTTGGCAGCATGCAAAACCATTGGATCCAGTTCAGAATCCCACTTCAGGGGTTTATTTTTTTCCTTCTGAGGGGGAAAAAAGTTAAACATTTTGGTTTCATTATGACTTTTTTTTTTTTTTACCATATTCGAATATGGAGGGAATGTATGAAACGAAAGTTACGTGACTGTGCAGGCTAAACCGATCTCACGTCCTTCTGATTGTGACGTTGTGATCCTCGTACAGAACTCTGGCAGTTGCTCTTTAATGTTACTGTGATGGGTTTTCTGAAATTCTGGTTTTGGTGGCAGGTTCAGACTTTCAGAGTAGGGCTACGCCCATGCACTCGTATAACATCACGGAAAATCTATCACGGGAAAGAGATTCTGTGTTGCCCACAACTAGAGGCTGATCTTGGGGGTTTTGAGCCAACTTGGTCAAACCTACTTATGTAGGACAGCACGAAGGGTCAGAGCCGAGTTTCTACACGTGCGTGCATGAGCAGACACACAGACAGACAGAAATACACACGCCCTGCCCGCACCCCATCACCCCTGAATCGGAGAGAATTAATACTGTTTTGTCACTGAGGCACACTGCGACATTACTGCTGTTGTGTTCTGGTTTGTGTTGCTCATACGTTTGGTGATTTGATTAACGTGTTCTTCAAATCAATGAAACAGAGAGCCGTGCCCTGATGAGCCTCTTGTTCCTTCTTCACCAACAGGCTAAGATGCCTTTTGATGCCAACAAGCTGTACTGCAGTGAGGTGCTGGCCATTTTGCTCCAGAATAACGATGGTGAGACGTGCCTCTGGTATCGATATTCTGCTAGGGTAGGATCTAGGCTTCTTTCAGATCACAACAGCACTCTTGTGCCTTCAGCTTCCCTTTGCTCGCGCTCGCTCCCGCGCGGGTGCTCTCTCACGTGCGCATGCGCCCTCTCTTCCTCTGCAGCTTTCGTACTCTGTCGAGCCGTATTGATTTTGTTTGCTGATGTATCAGTGTTAGATGGCTGTAAAATCTGACAGTTAGCTTCATTTTTCTCTTTCTTTTCCCCCTTCCCCCCACCTCCGTCTAGACAACAGAGAATTGCTTGGGGAGCTGGATGGGATCGATGTGCTGCTTCAGCAGTTATCTGTGAGTAATTCACATATGCCCTCTCTACCGTCAGGAGGCTCGCAGGCTGGGTGTGAGGAGGTGGAACGGATTCTGGGTGTAGCACTGTCCTGGGGATCTGTAGATACTGAAATACAGCAGTGCTTTATATTTAGTGGTGGCATAGTCCCTGAATAACTTCCACCTGAGTGTATCATCCATGGTAAGTGAGGTTAATCCCTGTTTTAAGAATGTTAACGTTGAGATACACAGAAGTTAAATTATTTTGTTATAATTGCATGGCAAGTTGGAGACAGGCAGGGCTGGAATTTGGCCGTCTTCAGCATTCCCTACTCCAAGCACTGGGCTGCGTTGTGCCTACGTTTGAGCTAGCTGAAGGTACTGTGTTCGTAGTTCACTTACATTTCTTGAGGTGGTACTGTCTGCGGCCCCCTCGGGTACGCGTCGTGCCTGGCAGCTCTCTGGTAACAATCTTACCCACGTACTTGGAGAAGTGCGCAGTCGGTGAGTTTGCCTTGCCCTATGGAGGCCCTGCGTCGTCCTTCAGTCGCGCGTTAGGCTGCTGCGCGTTCGTTGGCGTACAGCCAGGGCAGGAAAAAGGGCAGCGGAGTTACAAGGGAGAACGCACCGGTGACGTGTATGATTGCTGCCTTACGCATCTCGGGTGCTGAAGGCTTGTGATGCAAAATGTTTGTGTCTACTCTACAAGAGCGAGGACCAAATTGGGCCCTCCATTTTGGGGTAATTTTGCTTTCTTTGTCATGCAGGTGTTTAAACGACACAACCCTAGTACAGCAGAAGAGCAGGAAATGATGGAGAACCTGTTTGACTCCCTTTGCTCCTGCCTAATGCTCAGTTCCAATCGCGATCGCTTCCTGAAGGGCGAGGGTCTGCAGCTGATGAACCTGATGCTGAGGTACCCAGATAACTTTGTGATTTTCTTGCCTGCTTTCGACGTACCAACACATGTTCTGGCTAGATATTTGTAGTTTTCCATTCATAAAATTTCTGTGCTAGCGTATTTGTCTGTCTTCTCTTTCTTTTTTTCCAGTATGTGAGTCGGACCTTCTCAGACGTACAAGCTCTGCTCTTTGTCTTTAGCTTTGTTTCCTAAGAACTGGGATTGCTACAATAGCTGCTGGAAAGTAGCAGTGCAGATCTGTCTGGCAGACACCCAGATGAAAGCATGCTGTAGGTCAGGCCGCTAATCCTCTAAGGGTTTAAACGACCCCTGTGAGGGTAAGAGAGAACCCTTGGATGTCACGAGGGAAAACGTTTTTCCTTTTGTTCCCCAGTTCAAGCTTCACTGTGTTGTGTATCCTCTGAGCTGGTGAATTTTTGTGGATGTTGATACAAAAATTGCTTTCGTGAAATAAGTAAGCATTTCTTCTTGTGACATCTTTTGTCACACTGAATCTCCAGCGCTTCTCTGCTCTCTCTTCACTTTTACTTCCTAGCCGGGTACTGAATTGTGTCTTCTGTGCTGACTGCCTTCCTCCAGACCTCAGGACAGGGCGCAGCGGGGCTCTGTCTGGCTTTCCCTGGTGTGCTCGGCTGCGTGCCGTGGCTGCTTAGCAAACGCCAACGAGAAATGACGTGTTCCTGCAGTGCATGGCTGGGTAATGTGCAGCAGCGGGGAACTGAATAAATAACCAAACGTGGATTATTCAAATAGGAACACTGGGTTTTCGTGAGGCTAATTAAAGAAAAGCTCCAAAACTAAGTATGAGAGCGCAGCCTCCCTCTGCCTCGAGTACTAAGCTGCTAAGCTAGCCTTGCAGAACTAATTACTTGGAGTTCTTGTGCCGTGTGGGTGGGACTCAGTGTTTGGATTTTTAATAGCTTTTCCCCCGTTTTTGGACTCTGCTGTTTACCACTCTCTGTACCAGGATCCCAGCTGGAAAATTATGACAAGAGGAAAATGTCTCCCTGGATCTATTCCCCCCCACCAGTAGCTGTGAAGGGGCTGGGAGGGACAAAGCATGACTTAACTGCCAGCAGCAGCTATGTCTAATGGAAGGAGTTTCCAAGACCTCAGTCTTTTGATGCTTAGGAACCTAACCTATTCCGCAGTCTGAATGGGATTGGTAAAGCGACAATGGAAAAAAAAGTAACAATTCACAAAATATTTTCTAGAAGCCTATCTCACTACTGTCCATAAGCATGCACTATACTGACAGTTGATTATTTTATTTTTTTTAAACTCTTCTAATCTAGTTCAGATAAGTAGAAAAGCTGAAGTTGTTCTTACCTGGCTGAGCGAATAATGAGAGTTGGTAGTTGACTGAGTCTTATCCCCAAACCAGCTCCCTTCTGGCCCTGATTTGTCCTGTACTAAATCTCATGTAGAGAGAGCAGCACCTAGTTGGACAGAGAGAGGAAACTTCTTGCTTCTGGAGATGTCTTCAGACTAGAGTTGAAGGCGTTAAGCTGGTACTGTTATTGCTGATTCATGTTTTTCCTCTTTTGAAGAGCTGCCAACCACTTTTCTTAGTGTTTCACACTATCCATGTTGTTGACGTGTCAGTTCATTCCTATATGCAATTTTCTTTTTTTGTCTTAATGCTCCTAATGAATGAAACGTCAGGATTCTGACGCAGGTAATCATGCGTGTAACCTAAAACGTGAAATCAGTGATACGCAGCACGTGCTTAAAGCTACTTCCATACGTCAGGCTGACTGGCCAGGTCAGAGCCGCGATGCTGCCCTGAAGCTTTTACCTCTGCTAGGGGTGGTATTTCCTTATCGGTGCTGTAAGCTTGCTTCTGGTAGGCATGCCGCAGACATGGCTGTAGCTGTGATATTTAAGTAGTTAACTCAGATCTTCAGGACTGCAGGACCACAGTGCTGAGCTCTGCTATCTGTTGGCATCTCTTGAAAACCAGCTTTCTGGGTTCTAAGCGTTGGTGCTTTGTCAGTAGTAAGAGAATGAATGATGTTAGAGTCAAGTGCTCTATGGAGAGCATAGGAGGCGATAAAGGTAAAAGCGCTGGTTTGTGGTGGTGAAAATTAGGGAATGGATGCTGGGAGAAGGCGGCTACGTTAGGAGGAGAAGCTTTGGGCACGCTCAGCGGCTGCCGTGGAGGGGTACTTGCTTTTGCAGGTCATGGTGTGATTGAAGGTAGAAAGCTCTGCTGGACTTGGCGCTTTGGTGAGGAAGAGAGAGCACGTTTCTGTAGCTTTCAAACCTCCACACAAAGCAGAGTGTCTGAGAACTGATGCTGCAAGGTTTTGGTGTTTGTTTGCTTGTGGGTTTTTTACATATTTTAATATCCAGAAGATATTAAATGGCTGTTAGTTCTGTTAACCTCTGTTATCATTGGGAGTTCTCTTGGTGCATGCTCAGAAGCTCTTAGGGGTGCTCGGTTTTTCGTGGACAGTGCTGCTTTGGTAACTGCAGGCCAGCGCTGAGAATAGGGAGTGAACCTTGCTAGCTGTCATCTAGAGAGCTGCACCGGTGTGTTACGCTTCTGTATCTTCTCGATACCTTCATGATAAACAAAAAGAATAGAAATGCCGTTCAGTTGTGATTGACCACCTCGCCCACAAACAAGGCAGAATATTTTTCTCCCCTGTCGGTGTCCTCTGAAGACTGGGGGGAGAGATCTGTTATTTTTTGTTTTTACTTTGAAGGCGGTTAATCGTTGTACCATAGTCTGTACAGATGAAAGGACAAATAAGCAAAGCTGTAACTTTATTGACATGATGTGAGATAGATAAGCTGTGTGAGAATAAAGATATCAGGCTTGAATCTCCATTACTGCCTTTGAGAACATAGCATTCTGTATCTAGTGCTACCCAATACGTCTAGCCAAGTTGTTCTGTTAATAATGGTCATGCACACAGACCTGCAGAGAAGCATAGCGTCTTTCAGCTGAGCATTTAACATGCTTGAGAGATTCCTATAGATAGTAATGAAAACAGGGCTGCTTTCCATTATGCTGAGCCTTGAAATGTATGGCCGACGGCAAAAGATTATGTGGTATTTTGTGAAATTCTACTAGTTTATGGGGAGACAGTGGTAACACCTGAAAATGAGGACAGTGTGGCCGATGTGCTTTATGTGCCTGTCCATAGCGAGCCGTGTCCTGGCCTTGGTGCGGCGGTCTCGGGCTTGCGGTGTGGAGGGGGACTTGCAGTTGGCCGCTGGGAGCGGAGCTTCCCCGAGCTGGTACGTGGGAGGTGGGCAGAGGGGTCTGGGAGAAGACTGGATTGAGAAGGACGGAGCCTGTGGCAGCAGAAATGAAGTAGGAAGTTTTGCAGTAGGATGAGAGCACAGGTATATATATAATTACTTGATTTGCATCTCTGCAGCAATGGAGGCTTGTTTATTTTATGGAGTGTCTTTATCAAAAATAAGATGGTTTATCAAGGTGGTAGCCACCAGTGGAAAGCTTATAAATGTCACGTAGAATTAAATTGTTTTGTTTGGTTTTTTTTTTTTGGGTCAGGAAGCATCTTTTAGTACACGGTCCCTCAGCCTTGCCTTGGTAACCTAAATGCAGTTTACCTTACAAAGCCGAAAGAGAGAAAAACAGGCTTGTAATGTCAGTTCCCTTGCGCACACTGACAGGAAGCTTATTGCTTTTGCTGTAAAATTGTGTTAAGGTTTGGAGGAGATGCAGCCGCTCGGTTCCCAGGGGACGTGTCAAGAAGATTCTCTGTTGCATAGGAAAAATGACGTGTGGCTTTCCCAGTCACTAACCGAAGGCGCATGGGTATGCACATAGACAAATGCAGCAACGGGAGCTTACGGAAACGCACATCACTTGGGCAACACGATTTTCTCTTCTGCAGCTATTCAGTGGCTTTTCTTGACCCTCAGAAAAGCATTTGCTGCTGTACAGCACAAACAAGGTGAAAATGGACAATGCTGTACAGCTCCCCAAAGCTTGACTATAGCTATTTCAGGGTATATTTTTTTATGATTATTAAAATCCTTTTATGTTTTCTTGTCCTGCTGTTCCTAATGACCTCATGGAAACTTAGACTGTCTCTTTACTAAATCTTCTGGTTAATTAAGCAGAACCATTTTATGCAGCAGTTTTCCGGGAAATCTAATATTCTGCTTTTGCTAGGATTTTGGAAAGTGAGAGATTGTGTTATGCTAATGTGGAAAGTCGAAATAACGTTAGCATGTCTTCTTTCTGAAATAACAAATGTACCAAGAGAGTTCCTTCAGATGTAAAGGTATGACAAGGAAGAAAACAATGGTTAGCAAATAAAGTTGTAATCCAGAGCTCCCTGTGAAGGCTGAGGTCGCTCCCTATTTGGTGATATTCACGTATGCTTGTCTTTGAATTAGCGTTCAGCTAAAAGTTACCTCAATAAACACAGATGAGACTAAGATAAACTGCTTGCCCTCCGGCAGAATAAATATTTCAAATAAAATCAACTCTAGACAGTCCAGTCAAGCAGGTATTGATCTCTAAAAGCCTGAACTTAAACCCAATGAATATTCCAGAGATCAGCTCTGTGCAGCCTTCCTAAATGCTGATCAATATGCAATTACTTCCCCTGAAAACTTTTCCTATATTGTCTGCCTAAGTCGTACTTTATTTTTGGCTCCCTGTAGAGGGGCGGTGGGGTGCTGAGCCCCCTCCTGCACTGCCCTCTGCTCCTGTGCAGAGCTGGGCGCTGCGCCAGACCCCAGCTGCACGCGGTGCCTTCAGCAGCCGCTTCGTGCCTGTCGGAAGCGCCCGCGTCTGCGCTGGGCAACGTAACGTTCTTTGAGGCTAGGGTGTTAATGCGTGGGTTTTTAGTTTGCGTGTTGTTAGGGGTTCACAAAGGTAGATCTCCAGAGGGAAGGTGTTTTCCGCAGCTCTCTGGAGCTTGGGCTTCAGGAAGCCCTGGACGAGAAGACCCTGCTGACGGACGTGAGGCCCGGGTGGCCGGACGCGGGGCGGCCCAGCGTGTGCTGTTTGCAGGCGGGCAGGCTGGTCCCGTGCCGCTGGGTTTGGCAGGCGTCTGTAAGGGCAGCATGGGTGCTGCCGCCTCCACGGGGGGAAAGAGGAGGGGGCTGAACTGCCCGAGTGGTTTGCTCTTTGTAGATCCTTATTCCAGGTCCGCAGGAATATCCGTGCACCTTACAGCAGTGCAGAGCAACTAGCGTGTGTCCGAGGAGAATTGTTCTCTCATCTCTCCAGGGGAAGAGGACGGCTTATTCTGGGGGGGTTTACTTTTATATGTGCATGTAGCTATGTGTTTGTTAGAGAACAAATTCTCCTAGAGAAGAGGAAATCAGAGGAGATGGCCACGTGCTTGGGGTGGAAGGTGGTGGGGCTTGCGACTGTCCTGCCCTGGGAAATGTCCTGCTGGCCTGGCCGGGCCTTTGGGGATGCTGGGGGCTCTCCTGCAGCTCGCGGTAGCTCCTGCTGACATTTACCGGGTCTGTTGGTTTTATGGGCTGTATTTGCAACTGCTTTTTCAGTTCCTGTTTCACAAGATATTTTAAATTTTCCCCTGGATGAATTATAAATTCCTCTGTGTCTGGTTTGAGAGCTACAGGACTTTTGGAGATCATTTTCAGACCATCTGTGTGCGATCAGTGGGAGTTACCAGCATCAGCATTCTGAACTCGCAGTAAAACAGAATGGCCCAGAATCTATCTGCTTCCTTCCAAACGAGATTTCTGGAGATGGGGTTTTCTTCATTACACCTGACCACCAAGCTACGCTTACCAAACCTACTCCTTTATTAAACTGAATTATTGCTAGATCTAAATCCTGATCTTTTTGGGGTGGCAGTATTTGCCTTGTGTACCCAACCCAGTGTCCCCTGCCGTTTTGTGCTAGTGTTTGTAAGGTGGTGAAGAAATAACTTCTTCAATAGCCAAGAAATAAAAAATAAGAAAATAAAACCATAACAATAAACTATATAAAATGAAATAAAAAGAAAATGGAAAATAAAAAGAAATAAAAGACATGTAAAAAGGAATAACCAAGAGAATAGTCTCAACCATAGTTTTGAGAAGAGTATTTCTCGATATAATGTTTCAGCTTCTTGAAGAAAATCTTGCTTAGAGCTCGTGCTCCGACTCTTCATACGTTCCTTGTCATATTCATTTCCCTTTTCATGCTGTCTCTTTAAAGTAGCGTGGTCCGGAGCTCCTCGTGTCCCTGAAAAGTTTAACTTGCAGCTTTCTTTTCACAGAGAGAAGAAGATTTCCCGCAGCAGTGCCCTGAAGGTACTGGACCACGCCATGATTGGACCGGAGGGCACAGACAACTGTCACAAGTTTGTTGACATTCTTGGTCTGAGGACCATCTTTCCACTCTTCATGAAATCACCCAAGAAGATAAAGAAAGTTGGAACAACTGAAAAAGAACACGAAGGTAGGCATGTTTCCAGATCCTTCTTGTCCTGGAGGAGGTGAATGGAAGGCTGGCGTCTGAGCAGCACCTGCGAGGAGGAGGGAACGGCACACCACCGGTCTTTTCAGGGCTCCTCCTGCAGCTTTCAGGTCCAGGCAGCCTGCCCGCTCGCTGTCGCAGGCTAGTGGTTGATGACACACTTGCCCTGCTTGTTTGGTATCAGCGGTTCCTGGTGATTCCATTTCATGTGCTGTTAATAAGTTACTTCACTCCTGTAGGGTCTGTTGTTTGAAGCTCTGACTCTTTGATGCAAAACTCTTTTGAAAAGAGTAATGAGGCAACTACAAATGTCACCTCAAAAGCAGTGTTTTCATGGCTCTGAGCACTGAAGTGTGACTCGATGAACATCAGGCATTGCAGAAAGAAACTGCATGCTTTTGAAGTTGCCTTTTTTTTTCTTTTCCTTTTTCTATTTTTTTCTCTCTCCCTTGGAAAACTCTGCTTTAACAGAAGTCTGCTGTGGAGTATTACTGCAGGACCTTATGCTGAACTGAATCTAGGGTCAGTCCCTCCTGCTTCTGGTAACATTACCTTTTCCATTTTGTTGATAATTGACTTTGTCTTGGAAGAAACTTTAAATACTGCCAGTGATGCTTGAGGCTTTGTGCCAGTTCATTACTCATCTCAGTTCTATGAAGGGTGAATATTGTCAAAAGCTGAAGAAGTGTGAGTGGGTCTCAGACTTGCCTAGTATCCATCCTTAAGTCTTGCAGCAAACCGAGGGAAAATTGAAGGAAACGGCAACAAAACAGGAGCTCTAAACCCAAATACCCTGCGTTAGTACTGTCCTCGCAACTCGGGTGGACCCAGATGTCCCAGTGCTCTCCACAGCAAAGGCAGGGAGACCCTGCCTCCTGCAGCCCTCGCCGGGCCTTTCTCTGGGGGCAGCTCAGTGGGCACCTGCTTCTCGTCCTCCCTGAGGACAGGGCGGTGAGGAAGAGGAGGGGCAAATCCAGCAAGTTTTCTTCTTGAAAACTGTGCCAGTGGTGAGCTGGTAACTGCATTCGTTCTAGAGCACCAACGTTAAAAGATGATACCGCTGTTAACGAAGGAGCGGCTTGGCCAGGCACACGTAGGCTGCGACAGCGGCAGAGGTGGGGCTGCGGCGGACGGTGGGTCGAAGCAGGAGCCGGCAGCGCCCTGGGCTGTACGTGCACGGGTGGAGAGAAGGGGCTTACCTGCAGCGCAGGCCCGCCGCAGGAGCGATTCGCACACAGGCTGCCAGTGCTGGCTGCCTTATCTGTCTTGTCTTGTGTTGCTTGTCTTGGGTAATAATGGTGGGGAGGAAATGCTGTTGTGTCTTCTGGGGTTTATGCAATAAAATTGCAGAGAATTGCACTTAGGTGATGGATTTAGGGGATGTTTTGAAGTCTTCATTTGCAGTATGAAAATAAGGTTGTTTAATTCTTACTGAGAGAAAGCTCGAGCTGGAATACGAGCTTCTGAGTAGAGATCTGGGTTTGTGGTTCATATCGTTGACTTAATTTTTCAGTTTGGGAAAGTGAGTTAATCTCATCTGCTTCGTCTTGAGACTGCAGATGACATCTGTGTGCAGTCCTGGCTACTGTGAGGATTAGGTAGCAGCCTGGAAAGCCCTAACAGGGTCAGTCCCTAACTATTTCTGTGATAGGAAATAAAGCAAATCTGCCCTCAGGAAAATGGAGTGATCTGTGCAAACAGTCTTCATATCATACCTCCGTCTCATTAATATTCAGAAGAAATGGAGGATGTTAAGACGAGTCCAGAAATCGGTTTTATTAAAATAAACTCTCCCTAAGACACAGTGGTAGAAGTCCAGTTTTCTCTGTTTTGCATCGCTGGGCAGGTGAGTTACTGAATTTCTAACGACGGGAGTTAATTGAGATGTTCAACAGGGTTCCCCTGGAGCCTGTCACAGACATTGGCCTGACACGTGTATAAGCAGCGTAGTATATGTTTTTGCTTTGCCAAGTGTTGCACCAGCAATACAGTAATGACTCTGTGCTCGGGGGCACTGCTGGGTCTGATGGCCGGCTCCTGCGAGCCACTGGCTGAACAGGAATGCTGCAAAGACTCCTTGGCGCCTGCTGGTTTTCAGGGACATGGCGCAGGCCTGGCGTGATTGAGAATCAGTGCCCTCTGTGCTGTGTCGGTCCTAGGAGCACGCTTCTTCCTGCGTCTCTCTTTGTTTATTTATCAAAAAGCATGCTAGCGTTCAGCCGTCTCTTGTCATCTTTTCTTGTAAAAACTTCATCCTATGTTCAAACTGTTTAAAAAAAAAAAAAAAAAAAAGAAATTAATTAGAATGATCCTCTTGTGCTAGGAGAGCATTCGTGTATATGTCAAATAGAGGAATGTATTCCTTTAAAGGATTAACTAGAATGGCTTTGTAGCAGAGGCATCAGTATTTATTAAAAAGCAGTCCTAAGGAGCTGCGCTGTGAAGGCGTTCCCTGTAATGCCATTGAGACTGCCGTGGGACAGACACTCGTGGTTATGCTGCAAAATACCAGCTTCGTAATGGGCTGCTAACGCTGCAGCCTAATTACACCCGCTGAAAGGACAGCCCGGATAAAATGCTCCAGCACCGGGTGAGGTATCGAAGAGCTCTGCCAGAGGTGTCTGGCCACCGAGCCTCGGCCTCCTCCGCCCGCCCCGGGCGTCCCTTTGTCTGCGGCTGCACGTGTGCCGCCGGGCTGCCGGTACCGCCGGCGGCTGGGGCCGGAGGGTGCCGAGCTGTCGTTGGCAGCAGAGACCCTGCTTATTGGGCATACGATGCTCACCTTTGGAGTGCAGAGTCTTTCGTGTGTGTCTGGTGGTGCTAGGAAAATACTCCCCTTGTCTTTATTTTATAGTATTGTTGCTTTTTACATAAGAGAGAGTCTATAAAATAATGTTTGTTTTATTGTCTTGAAGGCAGTGTTCTGAATGTGACAAAATAATAAATACCCTGGTGAAAAGAAGTTTCAGGGTGACTGACTTGGTGAGCTTTTATTTATTACAGAAATTTATAATCCAAATTAAATTTTATAAAAATAACTTTTCTGTAATGTATTTCACTCTTTTTTTAAAAGCTCGCATAAAGGTGCCAGTGCTGGTTAGCTACATTTTAAACACTGTCAGTGTTTAAAAATTATTTTACTCTAGGGAGCCTGTGAACAATTTAAATCCAAACTGCTCATATTTATGCTTCGTACGCACTGTGTAATTAGGAAAAAAGAAAGGGAAAATTTCTTAACCATCTTTATGGATGATCTGAGCCTGAAGATTTGGCTGGTGGTGTCTGACTGACTGCGCATTATTTGCAATTGAATTTTGTCTGACTTTGTATAGATCATGATATACTTCTGAGGGTATCAGGTTTGGGAGAAAAAAAATCTCATTTGAGGCAATTTCCCTTTTTCTGAGGCAGTGAAGCAACTCAAAGCAGAAATATTTTGCAGTTGAAGACAAAAGTGGCTTAGAGGTTTCCTGTGTCTGTGGGCTCAAAATACTTGTGAGTAGCCGGCCGGCTCGGCCAGCCTTAAAGAGAAATAGCCCGTCGCTGTAGAAAGTAGCGTGTCTTGGACAGGGTTTTGTTGGGAGCTTGTTGAACGGTGTTAGCGGGGTCCCCCGAGATGCTGCTTGGCAGTGCGTGGAGCGGATGGAAAGGCGGACGAGGCAGGTTGTAGGAGGTGGGGAATTAATGAGAAGTATTACTGCAAAAATGCGTTTAATTCCATTGGATGCTCAGTGTTTGGTTTTGCGATTGACTGCTCCCTGCAATCTTCCTGATTAAGGACTGTGACCCCTCTGGTAGTGTCATCCAAACGGGTGTCAAGTCACAGACCGAGCGCCGCGTACAAGGTACGATACGGCATAGCTTGGCCGTAGCCTTTCGTGTGGCTCATCGTATGGTAAGGAAGGAACACACGGTAGTATAATATAGCCTACCTATCGTGAGCGTGGGTAGAAAGGTAAAGACCAAATCATGGAGAAAACGTGCTCTTGGTCAGTCTGAGACTGGGGACTACATCATACATATAAAATGGTGAGATCCGCCATGTTACAGGGGTTTGTGCGTTCTGACGGGGCACCCGGCGAGGAGCCCGGCTGCCTCGTGGCTTCGGTGGACCTGAGCTGGAAGGGCAGAGAGGCGAGCGTCTACTGTGCGTGATTGCAGGGAGCGAACGGGAATTTGGCTCTGGGTGGGCCTTGACATATATATAGGGTAAGATTTGAAATAATGCTTCTGTATCATGAACTTTGAAAGGCAGGGGATGCTGTACGAATGTCTGTGTTCTGAAAACTCTCCTGTCGCAGAGCCAAGGGCCAGCTTATCTTCGCTGTCCATAAGGGTGCCGGGTCCCTTGGTACTGGACTTCCCACAGCAACAGTCGAATCGAAGCGTTGGGTGATAACTTGAAATTCTTGAACAGTCTCAGTGAGCTAAAAATGGAGAAAACACAAATTCCTTCTGAATTAGAGAGCCTGTAGTGAAGCAGTCATAACTTGCTTGATAGGCTGTATGTTCTCCTGCTCTTTCTCAGGACAGTTATTTGCAGTCTAGTTTTGCTCACTTGGAGAGTCTAATGAACGATAAAAGGATGTTTGTCCAATTCATCTTCGTTTAAATGCCTTCTCTTGACTTAGATGTCAGTTTTACTTAGGAATGCTTAATTTGATAACCTGAGAATTAGTTCAGCCAATTTCCAAATGAGAATTCCTGTCACTGTGGTTTTCTGTCTATTTGCCCTCTAAAATAAGAAAGCCTCTTTTGGAGATGCATGATAATCTGCGAGGCCTCCTACCCTGGTCTTTAGAGTTCTGCGAGACGCTTCCTTTAAAAAACAACAGCGGCAAAACCCATTTCTTAATAAATATGCTCTTACTCCTTAGTAACATAACCTGAAAGGCAGCAAAGCCCTTGGAATGAATACCTGCTGCAGCACCAGGCTCCCTGGGCATGGAAAAGTGAAAAGGCAGCAACAGAAAAATGGCCGG